GTGTGTGTGAGTGTGTGAGTGTGTGTGTGATCTTGTTTGGGAGTGGGATGGATAATTTGAAAATGTATCAATGTTGATATTTAAGATTTGAGTGTTTACATAATCAGGTTTATGTTATTTGTATACAATCTAAAAGAATAAAGTTTGGAAGTGGGATGGGATTGGGAGGGAGGGGTTTCGCTAAGGGCGTCAAAATGGCTAGAAACGGCCCAGTTAAGCATAATAACGCATTTGTTAGACGAAGTCGCCGTTCTTTATCATTCTAACTGTCTAAAGGAAATTCACCAAAACACCTTTAACAAAGCAAGTACGATATGTTGGCACGTATAGATTTCAGCCTATTACCAATGAAACTGCTGTCGGGTGTTTTTACTTTCGGTTTTACTTGCACATCTTCCTTCCAGATTGTTTACTACAACTTCGAGGCGCCTAGAAAGAACGATTAGGCTACACAGAAAAAAACATAAACGTACTGTATACACATACCTTTCACATAAATATTAGACGTTCTGCACCGATGGATAAAACCGCAACATCTCAGTGAAGCGCTGTGCCCGAGTTGGTCTCGTTTGGTCGTAACCACGTGATCTGTGACGTCCGAATCTTGAATCTTTCCGCACACAACCACGTGACTGCTTGAGACTCGTTTGAGACACAAAAGGCCTCATCTAGGTAGTATAAGGCACACACAAAACTATGAGCATACAAGCTAGTTATATCGTCAGTTAAGTCATGAAATTACCAAAAAGACGAATAAAGTTGCGAACTGCATGCATGTATATATGCATCACATTAAAGAACGTCTCTCAAATGCATACTAAATTATATTCTGCATTTCGAGATCACAATATAAGGCGCAAGCTGGATTTTTGTATTATTATTTGTAATGTAATGCACAAGTAAATGTGAGCACAGTGCACTTATACTAGAAAATATCCGCTATTTTTTCTCGTTAATTTGTAAAGTAGAAACGAAAATGAAACCATTTAAATGCATAAAATAGCTCATTTTACATTCTGGCATTCATGTGCTGTTGACTTCTGGCCTTTTTCACACTCTTATCACTATCTGCATGTCTCATCAATGAGTATGCAACGATGGAGAACAAGCTTTATATGAACAACTAAATATTGTTTTGAATGTTGTTTTAATGCATTCAAACAGAAATACCTAACTGCTCATTCAGGTTCAATAACGACTAATCTCATTATTTACTAACCATATCAATATCCATTACATTGATTAATTTGGGAATATTTTATTCTTTCAGTAGAAGATTGTAAGGACCTCCCTGCTTTAGCACATTGTGAATGTTGGTTAAGAGATCTTATCGACTTATTTTATATAGCCTATATTAGTGGATTTACACGCTTAAATAGTTCAACTTTCTTTTTTTTTGTTCACATTGTTTTCAGAGAGGAACGTGCTAAGATATCAATGTGGTTCAGTGAAGATATTCTCAAGCTCTAGCTTCATTTATTTACCATTATATGCATCATTTAAAATCAATAATTGTAATATTTACTTACATATACTATGTTTTCTAATCAGGCAGTGAATGGAGTGCATGAAGATCCTTCAAACGCACAGAAGGAAGTCACGAAGAAGAATGTTTTAAGTTCAGAAGTAACAGAATTATAATGTTGCCGTTTTTGTGAGGAACAGTCTGTATTAACATATGAGTTGTTGTTGTTTTTCTCTCCATGTGGACTGAATGTGGAAACGGAGGAGCTGAACACACAGCAAGGGATGAAGCTTCAGCCTTTATGTGAGAAAAATAATTAGAGGTGATAGTGAGTATGAATGGTGGGATAAGGTGAACAGGACAACAGACTTCCGTATTCTGTTAACCGGGTCTCGTCGCTTCCGGTGCAAGCGTTTTGCATATGCTTCGTTAAATATGAAGCAATTTTACTCAAGATGTCTTCAAAGTAGATACCAATGATGATCATAACCAATGTCCATCACATATGCGGATTGATATCTAAAAGTTTTTTTTATTTTTATTCTTTTCACATTTAGATATAAAACATTGAATAAAATGTCAACAATAGAAACAGCTAGCTAGTTTAACTGATTATCTTAAAAGTCCATAGATATCGCTATTATTTAATACGGCTGTTAACACGTTCTCCGACAAGCGGAAGCGATGAGACCTGGGGCACGTTCAAGCTCAAACCGGTGTGCACCGTTTAGCTACGGTTTCCGGTTTGAACGACATGTTTCTTGGAAACGGTGTGTAACGGGGTTAGAGATGCGTTTTCTCTTGTTTGGTGGGTGTGTCACACATCTCAGCCCAATCAGCAGCAGCATGTAAACCACGCGGTATTAAAGAGACAGTAATTAACATCCAAATAAACTCACAAGAGCAAGTATATTGTTTGCACATGTTTATTTACATTAAAGACAAAATAACTGAAATAATAAGGTCATATATATCATAACACAGTCTTGGAGATAAGAAGTGGATTATCCTTCACCTGAAATGTTTCTTTTCATCCTGAAATGCGAGGCAAATGTTGGATCACAATAATTAGGAACCACAGTTTTCACAAATCCCAATCCAAATTGGGATGTTCTCTTTTATTCTAGAAGTCAAGGGCAGTGACTGTAACATCGAGCGTATTTTGCAGTATTAAACACGTATTTATACCGATTTCATCAGGCTCCGAAAATTCTTCAAAAAGAATACAAAGAATGGCCTTCTCAGCTGCCGTAGCTGCAACTCTTGCGTCATCAGAACAGAGTTCAACGCACCACCGCTTCCGTTTAAAACACGTTTTGCACCGTTTTTGTCGGGGCTGAACGCAAGCCCTGTTTTCCGGGTTTGGTCAGGTGATGTTCGACATATACCCCATAGACATAATAAATACCTAGACGCCTCATTGGCCGCTTTGAGCCGTTGCTGCGATACGTCAATGCGTCCGCCATGTTTGTGAAGGCAAGACTGCCTGCGGTTATTCTGGATAAAAACACGATAACGTTTACATTTACCAACCGATTTCAGAGGCTTGTGATCTACATGGAGTTAAAAATAGCTCTGCCTCCAGTTATTTAGTTAGGCTTGGAAAAGTATTGATTTTCATAAGAAATTGTGAAAACTCACACTTGTTGATTTTTTCGGTTTACAATTCTAATGTTAATGTAGTATAACTGTGACATATACATCTTTTGTAATTTGAATATACATTAAATGAAATGAAGTTGTTTCATTGCTTTCTCTGTCTTCAACCCCAACATTTGAGCTTTTCTTGTGCTTCAGGTCAGAACACAGCTCAGTCCCTTTGAAACACTGGAGGAAAATCTTAATTAATACAGCTTTAAGCACTAATACTTTACCATCAGTGAGAACATGGAATAAAACCAGCGACTACAAATCAAAAAGTGACACTCTTGGTAGTCTGCTTTTTATTTTCATAGCACGCTACACAGATAAACTCCACAACAAACAATAACAGATGCAACTGATAATCCTTATGGATCCAGTTAAACTTACAGTTACAGCGGTAAAATATCATGCACTGATACAGCGCACAGTAAAAGTGATATGTAATATTAAAAAGTGTATGTAGTACAAGTTGTAGTAAAGTGAATAATATAAAAAAGCGAGAACAACAGTATTTAATAGATTTATAATAGCATAAATTATATGTATAATACCAAAATAAATGAATAACAATAGATGAGTAGAATATGTAATATCAAGGGTGGAATAATACAGAATAGACAATAATGAAGAATACATGAATAGTAAATTATAAAGTAAAATAAATGATCATGAAATGTAGTTTTATAATAGTATTGTGTAATAATTATTAAACAAAGTAAGAAAGAAGTAAGGGTGTGGTTAGAATATGAGCAGGTAATTCTGTTCATTCATTCAGGGCTGTTCTGGGTGTAACTATAGTACTAATACAACACACGGCTGTGGAAGTATAGCCTACTCTCAGAGAACTAATGCAGAGAACAGGCTTTCTTCAGCTTTCCTTAACGCTTGCGTTGTCCTGTTTGCAGTTGGCTAAAAAGGAAAAAACATATATATATAATCAGTCCACAGTTTTATGATAAGCTATGACATCCTTATAATCTAGTGATGATGAACTTACTCTTTGTAAATAAGTAACGTTAGTGAAATTAAAGAGAGATGATTTAGCTCCATCCCTAATCCTGACAGTCTGGCATTGTCTTGTCAAAGTGCTCACTCTACATATTGTGCTCATAGCACCATTTACTTTATGATATAAACTACAATATAAGTTAAACTTAATAAGAATTCATTTAAACTTTGATTCCTTATAAAGTCTCAGCTTTCACAGCTAACTGGCGAGCTATTAATCATCTGACACTGGTGGCTAATTAAGCTGCCAACATAATGTTAAAAATGACCAAAAACATCCAGAAACAACTGTTGAGTCTTACCTGTGGAAGATAATACCCCGAGATCTGTTTTTATAACCGTGGGATGGTCTGTAGATGCCCAAGCTGCCGACGAGTCAGGTATGTCTTCTCCTGTCCCAATATGAGAGTTATGGAGCGTTGCCCGGACCAATATGGCGGCGGCGTTGACGTGCGGTCGAGCGGCCAATGAGGCGTCTAGGTATTTATTATGTCCATGCTCGCCCCACCAATGACAAACTATTGAAATTTCGAAACAATCATGAGGTAATGAAGCCCCGTTTACTGAAATCACGTGACTTTGGCGGTTTGATACGCGCTCGAACCAGTGTTTCGAAACAAATGATTCACAAAAAGATTCGAAGCTTCAGTGATTCGAAACAAATTAATCAGAAAAGATTCGAAGCTTCAGTGATCGACACAAATGATTCACAAAAGATGCGAAGCTTCAGTGATTCGAAACAAATGATTCAGAAAAGATTCGAAGCTTCAGTGATCGGAAAGCGCCGTCACTCTGCTGCGCATGCGCACTTTCACTCTAGGGCTGCGTCCTCTGCTTTGTGTCCAAACCGAAAGTAAACTCAGCAAAGAGACGCGCGTTTAGAAGATCGCCATTAAATCCTAAATAATAAGACGCATATCGAATACAGTAAGTGCGTGTATCGTCTTCTGATATGATGTTGTGTTATTGTTGGAGCTGTTTTCGATGTTAAACCATTTTAAAGAGTTGTGACGCTTGTAGAAATGAACAAGTTCATCTTCAGGATTATAATGATATCGAGCTCTGTGCATTCTGCTATATTTGAGATTAATTTAAAAAGGGGGTTCAGGTGATCTGTTTCATTGGTTTTGGCTCATTTGAGTGAAGAGGCCATTTGCTGTTTTTCTAGGCCCCCACGCTCCCCAGCAACGTTACAGGCCTGCAACTGGGGCGGGTTGTGTGACTGTGTGTGCGCCACATATACAGTACATATATACTATATACACATATATATACACATATACACACATATACACACATACATATACACATATACACACATACATATACACATATACACACATATATATACACATATACACACATATATATACACATATACACACATATATATATACACATATACACACATACATATACACATATACACACATATACACACATATATATA